AAAAGCAGCCAAAAGTTCTTAGATGAGAATATGTAGGAGGATGGCCATGAAGTTTCTCCAGATATGACAAATTGTGTAAAACACTAGAGGGGAACCTGTTGATTAAGTAGGTGGCAGTAAGCACACAATCACCCCTATATTTGACAGGTAGTTTAGATTGAAATAAAAGTACTTTTGATGTTTCTAAAAGGTGATTGTGTTTCCTCTACAACCCCATTTTGTTAAGGAGTGTGGGGAATTGTGGTTTGATGAAGAATACCAGAATCAGCAAAATAAGAAGAAATTTGAGAACTGGAACCTAGCTCAAATGCATTGTCAGACCTAATTGTTTGGACTTTAGAGTTAAAATGATTCTGGACCATGAAACTAAAAGCTTTGATAATAGAAAATATATTACTTTTACAGGAAAGTAAGTGTGTCCATGTCACCCTTGAAAAGTCATCAACAATAGTCAAGAAATACCTAAAACCATTATATGTTCTTGTATGATAAGGACCCCATAGATCAATATGTATAAGTTGAAAAGAATGAGTAGACTTGATAGTACTATATCGGAATGGGAGTCTCTGTTGTCTAGCTAAGGGACAAACAGGACAAATAAATGATTGTTTTAAAGATAATTTGCCAGAAAGAACTGAAATAGATTTCATTATATTAAATGGCATATGCCCCAGTCTTTGATGCCAGAAAAGATCAGCTTTAATAATAGAAGAAACAAGATTACAAGTGATGGTACAAGCATTGTAATCACATTTAAGAAATGAAGAAGTAGCTGAAATGGTATTTATAGATGAAACAGACTGTGCCACAATAAGATCTGGATGAATGACATACAACCCATTAGCAGCTCTACCAATTTCCACGGGTCTCTTCAGAGAAGGGGCTTGTACACAACATGAAATATTGGTAAAGAGGGTTGTACAGTAAAATTGATCTACTAACTATGGCACAGAAATCAAATTGAATTGAAAAGAAGGAACTAAATGAACATTTGCTAAAATGAGATCATTACACAGTTTTAAAGAACCAGTGCAATTGATTATTACTTTGTAACCATTTGGAAGTGTTACTAAGTAAGAAAAAAGTAAGGGTTGAATATTATGTAGAAGTTCTTTATGTGGGGTCATATGATTGGTAGCTCCTGAATCTAGAATCCAAGTATTAACCTTTAATTGAGAAACACAACATAAAGTAATAGAATATACAGTAAACCTACAAAACACACCTGCAAATGCTCCCATAGCAGAAGAGCCAATGCTAGGATCCTGAGTTGCAGCAGATATTTGAGACTGTTGAAATAGACTCATGAGATGTTGATACTGTTGAAATAGACTCATGATATGTTGATACTGCTCTTTACTGAACCCATGAACTGGATTTCCAGGTAAGACTTCATGAGTTGAAAGAGAATCAGTTCTAGGATCATCAAACTGAACACATGCTACAGTTTTCTGCCTTTTGATAAATTTGAAGTCAGGAGGAAACCTATGTTGCCTATAGTACTTTTCAATAGAATGATCAGGTTTTCTATAATATTTGCACACAACGTTTGTCTTTTTATTCTCAAAACTGATCTTCTGAGAATAAGTCTTATTTACTGAAGTGTTTTGGACAGGAGTGGACTTGGCATGAAATGAAGTTGATTCTGAATGAAATGGAGACCCTGAAGCTTGAATTTCCCTTTGACTGTCATCATGTAATAACATGGAATAGGCTTTGCCCAGGGAAGGAACATGAATCATCATAAGAATGTTACTTCTAACACTAGAGTATGTTTCATTCAACTCAGTAAGAAAATGAATGAGTTTTTATCCTTCACTGCACTGTGGTTTTGCTCCACAAGTGCAAGCTGGACCAAACGAAGCAGTCTTTAACTCATCCCATAGTTTTCTTAACCTAGTATAATAGCTAGAAATATCAGTAGAACCCCGAGAGACTCCAGTAATCTCTCTTTGGATTTGGTAGTACCTACTAGCATTAGACTGACCATATCTCTCTTCTATATCCTTCCAAAGATCTCTTGCAGTGTCACAATAAAGTACACTGTCAGCAATATCCCTAGACACTGAGTTACTCAACCATGCAAAGACCATATCATTGCATCTTAGACAATGGTCATATAAAGGAGAGTCAGGAGGTGGCTGAGTGATTCTCCCATTAACCATCTCAGCCTTGTTCTTAGCAGACAGATCAATAAGAATATTTTTTCTCCAAGATACATACCCAGTACTAGAGAAAGGGACAGACACCAGTGTAACTCTCGGATTATCTGATGCATGTAGATATAAAGGATGGGAAGGATCAAGTGAGGTACTAGGGGAAATTGAAGTAGACGTAGATGGGGAGGTAGAAGTCAAGTCTGGGGCCATGCATGCAAATCAGAGTTGGAAGTAGAGATTAAAATTGTTTGATACACACAACAACTTCTCAATAAGCTTTCTCAACATATACACCCAATGTTCATATCAAATACACAGAAGACCAAAACACAGATATGAAGATTTTTCAAATAAGGGCACAAAACTTGAACAATCTATCAATTAACTGTGAGGAATCGAAGAGATGTTATCGGAATTCCTTCATTGAACTCAAGGAAGGTGAAACCTGGTCCTGCAGAAGCAAAATTTGTAGAAAAACCCAAACATCATTTGAACCATCGAAATCGTCGGAGAAGATTGTGATTGACGAAACTAAAAAAAACCAATGAAGTAATGAAGAACGTTGCGAACAGCTCGGATCAACGCTCGGATACCTTGTTAACCCATGAAATCAACGAGAAATTTGAGGATTGGATCGAAGAGAAAACCCTAATTATCTAAGTCGGTGATAGAGAAGACATGATAGACAACCGGGTAAATAAAATGTGATCCATTAATTTAGAATAGAGTAAGTAACTTTATTTATATGGTGGCTAAAAATAAAAATAATCGGACAAGGGCCGGATCCCTGAAGTACAAAATGAAAGATGGCCCAATAAAGAATAGGCCCAACTCTCCAGAAGCTCATCTGGGATCTGGACTTAGCATTAAGGGTCTATCATGAAAAGGGAGAGAAGATATGTCATTGCTTTCTTATTCGCCAAATCCCAAAATTTGTTGTGACTAAGCAAAAAATATGTTTTAGCATTACTTTCCAAGTCTTAAGTAGCTTATTTTTTGGAGGAGAAGGGGATGAGAAATATTATTTCCCAATTCACAATAAGATTCGCAGTTCAATCATCCAGTTGATAATTAAACTTTAATTGACGACTAATAAACAAAATGTGAAAAGTAAAATACAAAAGAAAAAAACAAAAGGCCTCAAAAGTTGTAGAAATATTCATTTGCCTTCAAACAAAGAGAAATCTTATTTCAGCATTCAAGTTTTAAGTTTAACATCATCCGACGATTATATTCTAAAACATGGTAGATACCTAAAGGCTAAAGCCAGCAGACAGCCAAAAACAACAGGCTTGAACAGTCTTCTGCTCAAGCCTGTTGTTTTTGGCGGAGCTTTCTTTGATCCGACAATCTTTTTGCCAACCTGTACAAACCCAAGAAAAACAGGAACAATCAAGTTATCCGTGACGATGATTGTGTGATATATATACTCCATCCGTTTTAATTTATATGAACCTGTTTGACTGAGCACGAAGTTTAAGAAAAAATAAAGACTTTTAAAATTTGTGATACTAAATAAGTCAAAAAGGGTTCTGAGTATTTGTGTGGTTAT